AAAGTGAATTTTCTAAAGCACAGCTTCAACCTACTCAAAAAACTCCAGTGGTTCTCTATCACTTCCACAGTCAAATACAGAATTCTCTATTTGGTGTTCAAGGCCCTTCATTACTTAGCTCCCTCCTGCCCTTCCAGTCTTCTTACACCTTCTTCCCCACCATGTACTCTTTGATCCAGTAACACTGGCTTCCTCACTATTCCACAAATAAGACACTCCATCTTTCAGCTTTTAATGGGCATTTTTTCTCTGGCTCTCCCCCCATGCTCAGAATGCTCCCTTTCTTTCTATCTGCCAGCTGCCTTCCTTAAAGTCCCAAATAAAATCCCATCTTCTACAGGAAGCCTTTTCTCTTTTATTTCTAACTCCTTCCCTCTCTAAATTACTTCTTATTTATCCTTTATATAGCTTGTTTGTAGACATTTGTTTGCATGTTGTCTCCCCCATTAGACTGTGAGGTCCTTGAGGGCAGGACCTGTCTTTTGCCTCTTTTTCTGTCCCCAGAACTTAGCATATTTCTTGGCATTACAGCAGGTGCTTAATAAATGTTAGAGTGACTAAATGTAAGCCACCATCTTCTCCTAGATACTTTCTCTTTTCTAGTTTTTGTTTTTGGGTTTTTTTTTTTCTGGTGATACTGCTCTCTCTTGGTTTTCCTCCCACATGTCTGACTGCTCCTTCTCCGTCTTCTTTGCTGCATCTTTATCTAAGTAGTACCTACTAACCATAGGTGTTCTGGTTCTGTTCTGGGCCCTCTTTTTTTCTTTCTCTGTACTGTTTCACTTATGATCTCATCAACTCCTGGAGGTTCAATTATGATCTCTATGATGATTTACAGATCTACTAGGGTGTGGCATACTAGAGAAAAAGTACTGGACTAGGAAGCAGGAAGCTCTGAGTTCAAATATTACCTCCCACCCTCACTAGCCATATTGAGTGGATTGGCCTCAATGGCCTTGTAGGTCCATTCTAGCTCTAAATCTAGGATACTTTAACCTGTACCTCCAGTCCACCTCAGCTCCAGACAGGAATCGTCATACCAGGTCCACAATCCAAAACTGTAACCTCCTACTCTTCCTTGTATCCCCGCCCCTCCTAACCCTATTCTTTTGCTTACCATATATTCATGGAGGACTGGCACCTCTGGTGTTAGGGCTTGCTAAGCCTATTTCAAGGCTGCTCATCTACCTTTGGTGTTCACTTTCACCCAACTTTCAGCTGTGACTCCAAAAAGCTGTAACATGTGCAGTGCCCACACCCCAGTAAATCATCTCGGTAGACGGGCTAAACCAGGTTGAGGGTAACTGACAGGCCTCAAATCTGTTGGTGAATTAGGGGGATGTCTACCCTAAGAATGTGAAGTCCTCTCTTAGCGGAATGGATGGATGAGAACAGTTTGTCCCAATGGCCATGAAGGCGCTGAAGCAGGAACTGTGCAGTGCTTAGAGCTTGGCCAGACATCAAAGATACCAAAGTCATCTCTTGCATCTTGGGCCATCACCAATTGTCTTGACTTTTGTCTTGCCACTGGACTTCAATGACTCTGGAAGAGAGAGTGAGGTAGACAACTTTGTGCAACTCTGCCTCACTTAAATCCAATTCGTTAGCAAGTCAAGACCTGTGTTATCATTGGTCCTCTTTGAAAACAAAGGACAAACAACAGATCAACTTATCCAGCCCTACCTTCTCTCCTTACCTCCAGTCACACATCTCTAACTGCCTATTTAGACATCATGATCTAGATATCCTGTGGACATCTTAAACTCAATATGTCCAAAATTGAATTAATTATATTTCTCCTCAAACCTTCCTTTTTCCCCCTAACACTTTTGAAGGCACTACAATCTTTACAGTGGCACAGGCTCACAATCAATTATCTTTGGCTCTCCAATCTGTTTTACACCCCTCCCTCCTACCCAATATCTTGCTAAATCCTGTCCATTTTTTTTTTTTACAATAGGTCTCATATTCACCCATTCTCTTCTTGGACATTGTTACCATCCTGAAGCAGGCCTTCATTTCCTTATACCTGCACTATTGCAATGTCTTCTCTTTGATCTCCCTTTCTCAAGTCTCTCCGAAATGAATTATATCCTCTACTCAGCTGCCACAGAGATCTTCCTAAAGGGCAGATCTAACCATGTTACCCACCTACTCAATTCCAATGACACCCATTTACTTCCCAGGGCAAATATAAAATCCTTTGGTTTTTGAAGCCCATCACAACCTGGCCCCTTCCTACCTTTCTAGTCTTCTTACAACTATACTCCCCTTTACATACTCTATTAATACAGTGTGATTCTGGCCTCTGCGCCCTTCCTGCCATGTCGGTCCATCTCCAAGAACTTTGCAATTTCATTGACTGTCCTCCACTCCTAGAAAGCTTTCCCACATGAGCTCTACCTCTTGGCTTCCTTAAAATCTCAGCTAAAATTCCACTTTTTGTAATAGGCCTTTCTAGACACACTCCCTCCCCCATTGGTAGTCTTTCCTCTGAGATTGCTTCCAATTTAACCTACATATGTTTTGCAGGTATTTAGTTGTTTTGCATCTTTGTTCTCCCCATTAGAAAGTGAACTCTTTGAAGGCAAGGACTGTTTTGGGGGTTTCTTTGTACTTCCAGCACAAAGAAAGCGCTTCCTTGGAAGCACAATTCAGGTAACACCTGAGGCCTTTCAAGATATCTTCAACTGTTAGTGTTTTCTTCCTCTTGAAATTTCCCTTTCTCCTTGAAATTACTTTGCGTGTGTGTATACATGTATAAATATATATATAATGTATACATTACATACATAAGTAAATATATACATATTGCATACATGTATATGCATTGTGTGTATATACACACACACACTCATATTATATTCCCCACTGTGGAATGTAAGTTCCCTGAAGGCAAAGATTGCACCATTTTTGTTTTGGTATCCATGGGCCCTGTCCCAGTGAACCCTACACATAATAGGCATTTAACATGTTTATCAAATGGAATTGGTGGCACAGTTTTAAGAAAAAGATAGGAGGGCAGATAGGTGGCACAATGGATACAGCTCCGGAGTTGGGGTCAGGAGGACTTGAGTTCAAATCTGGCTCTAGGCAAGTCACTTAACCTGGATTGCCCCACCAAAAAAAAAAAAAAAGGATTTCAACAGACAGAGATGGATGCACAAAGGGTATATTTTAGGCCCAGGGCTCAGTTAGTAAGGAAAATGTATCATTATCATCAGTGGTTATGGTTGTTGAAATAATCTATCTCAAACATTTGGGCAGGGTTCCTAGATGCTTAAATTGAATTTGGACAAGTAGAGAGAAGGAAGAAGGACATTTTAGGGATGGTGAATAGTGTGAGTCAAGCAGCAGAAAGGGAATGAGCACAGTACATATCAGGGACAGTAGTAACAAAACCCACCTACTTGAAGTTGCAGGTTCATGTAAGGGGTTGAGATTTAAGGTTGTATAGGTACAGTGAGGCCAGATTATGATACTATATCAACTTTAGAGGCATTTTATTTTGTATATGCTGCATCTAACTTATCAAATGTGAACATGCTTTATCCCCATGGTAGAATATAAGCTCTTTGAGGAAAGGGGCTGTCTCTCTTGTATTTGTATCTCAGCTTCCATCACAGTGCCTGGCAACATAGCAGTAGATTAATAAATGCTTATTGATTGATTAACTGATTTTTTTTTTTGGTCATGAGGTTTACAGTGAGGTCAACTTTTTGAGCAGACTGGGAGTAACAGTGTAGCTCCTCCTCTCTGAAAGCCTCTGCAAAGTCAAAGGCCTAAACTCTTAACCAATTTCACTCCTATACACTGTTCTAGCTTCCTAAGCATAAAGAGAAAAATAATCTTCACCTGTTGTACAGGGGCATGGCAGATAGCTGTTTTTTAGTTTCTTTAAACTCCTAAGAAGAACAAGTCTTATTTAAACAAGTTGTATTATTTAATAAGATTTGGTGTCTGGCTTTCTCCTTTCTCCCTTTCTCCAGCACCTCCTCCACCTGTTCCGTCCTTCTCCCCTCATCTCGCCTGGCTTTTCCTCCCCTCAGTCTCTCTTCGCTAGTGCCCACCATCACCTCCCCTCATCTCCCCCTTCCTCTCCTCGACCACCACTCCGACCTCCTCTTCCTCCTCCCTGCACACTCGGCTGGTACAAGCCCTCCCCCGGAGCACATGCCCATACACACACATGCACACGCGCACACACACACATACACACACACACACTCCCCTTCCCCTCCCCTCCCGCCGCTGCCGCCGTCTGAGCGGTAGGTGTTTTCGCTGTCTGCGCCGGGCAGGCCGCAGTGCGGCTGCGCGCACTCGGGCTGCCTCCGGGGCTGGCAGGGTAGCGGCGGCCGCGGCGGCGGCGGCAGCAGCAGCGGCGGGCAGGAGGCAGGAGGCTGGAGGCTGGAGGCAGGAGGCTGGAGGCTGGAGGCTGGAGGCTGGAGGCTGGAGGCAGGAGGGCAGGGAGCTAGCGAGGGAGGGAGGCGGGCGGGCGGCGAGTGGCGCCCAGCAGAGCCCGGGGCTGCAGCAGCCTGGCAGTCGGGAGACGTGAGGGCAGAGGAAGGCAAGGCGGCCAAGCCCCCGCGGAGCCGTTCTTCCCGGGCTTGGGGAACCCCTCTTCTCCGCCCCCACCCCATCTGCCCTCCCCCTCCTCCCCCAGGCGTCGTCTTCGTCGAGCGCCCCCTCCCCGGCCGGCCCCTGGAGGGAGGCGGCGGCGGCGGCGGCGGCGGCGGGCTGAGGCAGCCGGGATGCCCCTGCCCCGCTGAGGCTCCCCCACCGCGAGGAGCCTCCCGGTCTCCCCGGTGATGTTCCCCAGGCAGCAGGAGCGAGCGACTCACTCGAGCCCAGGGGTAAAGGCCTAGTTTATCCAGCTTCCTTCCTTCCTCTTCCTCCTCCTCCTCCTTCTCCTCCCTCCTCCTCTTCCTCCTCCCCCTCCCCTTCCATCCCCCCTCCCCCTTCCCCCGCCCCCCATCCTCCCTCCCACCCCTCCAGCAGCGATGGCAGAGGAACAACAACAACCACCACCACCGCAGCCCGATGCCCATCAGCAGCTCCCCCCCAGTACTCCCAGCCCGGGGGTGGCTCTGCCAGCCCTGGTGCCCGGGCTGCCGGGGACTGAGGCCCGCGCGCTGCAACACAAGATCAAGAACTCCATCTGGTAAGAGGATCCTCCATCGCAGGGGCAGAAAAGCCCAGGCACATTTCTGCTGCAAAGGGGTGAAGGGGAGGGGGAGGGAGAGGGAGGGAGCGAGCAAGCGGGCGAGCGGGCGGAGGAGCTGCTTGATGCATTCGTTGCATGTGGGTTTCCTGAGTCTGGTGCACATTTATAGGACCTTTGGAGGCGTGTGCTCTTCAAACGTGTAAACCTGGGTCTGCCTCTCCAAACACTCCCCACCCCCACCCCCCCATCGTGACTGCAGATTAACAAGTTATTTGATATTTCACTTTGTGTGAGAGGCGGAGGGTTAGAAAATAAGTTAGATTGCATGATGGTAGCATGTATCTAGGAGTGGGGAACGTGAAATGTGTTTACTCCTTTTTGCATTCACACAGGGAGAGGGGAAGAAGTGTGTTGTGAATTTTATCCAAACAGACCATTGTGCGTAAGAATATTAATATGCAGCGTAAAGCCTGATTGTGTATGTGTCTGTCTCTCTTTTGGCTTAGCTACTCCTTCTAGATGTTTTTGCCTTGTTTATTCCAAGACTGTTAGCCTTCCAGAAGGAGTTCATTCTCTGCATTTCCTTTGAAGAAAAATGCTGCTCCAAAACATGACATTTTAATTTGTGTGTATTCTCACAGAAGATAGTCTGATCTTTTGTTTTTTAGAGAATAGGGAACCTGCCTTCCAGTAAAGGCTTGCTATATTTCTTTTACTATACTTTAGGATGTTTGAAAATCAAGATAAGTCAAATCAGATGTCCTCTTGCTATTATATTTTGGGTAGTATGTGACTTAAATAATTTAGTATGAAGATGAGCTCTTACATTATTGTGGTCTTTTCATTATAAAGTAGATCGGTTGAGTTAGGTAACCTATTTCTCTTTTAAGTGTAAATAAGGAATGCTTACTATAACAAAACCTTTCTTTGGGTGCAAATCCTTATTTCAGAAAGATTATACCTTGGTCTTAATGAATTCATGTGGAGTTGCATGTTAACTGTCATATTTTTTGGTGTAGCACTCTTTTTAAGGAAAGTACAACGTTCTTTAGAATTTAGTTTATGAGTTACCTTTTTTAAGAATGTAAAAAATAGAATTCTAATGTTTTTGTCAAACAAATCCTTGAGATCAAAATAGAAATCTTTTCAGGTCCATCATTTTGCTGTATTACACCCAAATAGCCTCACATTTTGTTTTGAAACTTTATAAAGACGCATCTGAAGAATATCAGGTCTTTGCATAAAATTTATTATAAAACAGTAATGAAATTAAATGTGCTAAGTTTGAAAAGTGGAACTGGTCTTTTTCATAGAGTAATTTGTATTATTCTCCTGAAGGGTCCATGTGTCCAGCTTATCTTGGTAATATGAAATAGGTCAATTAATAGTTTCACATTATACTGTAGTTGGCAGTTGAATATTTTGTTTGCAATACAGATGTTTAAAATATTGGAGTATAAATGCAGAAATTTTTTTTGGATCTTCACATGATAAGTCATATTGTAACTTATCTGGAATAGGTCAGATAAATAGATTTTTTTTTCAGAATGTAGGGCTCAAAAATACATAACTGAGGGAGGTGCTTAACTTTATGGCTTTTACTGTTAAGATTTTAATAAAATTAATGTTTCTTCTATCAGCATGTTATGCATTAGCTTCCTTGAAATCATCAAATTGAATTTAACTTTCATGTTTTCATTATATTTAAATGAGGTATCATGTCCAAGTTGACAAAATGGCTACTAAAATCCTTTAAGATAGAGCATTTTAAAAAGTAGAATTGAGTATAATTTTTAGTTAGGAAGAGAGTAAAATGAATGAGCCTTCACTTTTTCTCTTAAAAGTAGTCATTAGAATAGTTAGAGAATTTTAAAGAACAATGAAAATTATTTGAACAGTGGTGTTAGATTTTTTTTTAATGTGGGTTATTAATTGTTCTGTCCCTCCTGATGCTCCACATTCATGTGACCTTTACAACTTAAGACACTTGACATCTTTAACATATGTGAAACTTCTCTTACCTACAGGCAGTATAAATCAGTTCTTAGCACTTGTTCTGAAAACTTATATAGGAAACATCTTAAACTTGACATACTTAATTTTATCTATTTTTAAATCATACTAACACATCAACATTTAATTTTGTGTCTTAGAGATCCTATTTGCAAAATTACTTCCCTTTTCATACAATATGTATACCTGTAGACTACTTCGCTTTTCATATTATATTGACTAAATAGCAGTAATGCTGTTTTTCTCCCTAAAAATTGAATTTCCGTTGGTTATATAAAAGAAAGATGTTTGTGTTAAAAAGATGAATTCCCTTGTCTCTGGCTTCCCCTAAGAAATAGTATCAATGTATAGTTATAATGCATAACTAATTAAAAATATGTTTTGATCAGCAAACTTACAACTCTTTATGCATCTCATTGAGACATTCTAAGACCACAGTACTTTAAAAAATGGTGATTTTCGACACCTTATAATCTGAGAGATGGACAATTTTGCACCTCAATTTTGGCTAATTACTACTGTGAATTTTAAATTTTATTCAAAGCAGCCTCTTTCTTATATCATAAACAAGTCTGAACTTGTCCTTCTGTGCAAATATAAATATAGTATATGATGTAGGCCTCTAGCTGGACAATGAGTTATTCATTATCTCAGCTCATTGATAATTTAGTCAGTTTATTAAATTAAAATGCATTATAACCAAAGAAATTTGTGTGTTATAATTGCAAATAAAAGTGTAGCATTTGGAATCATTAAACCAGGTTTTACTACTTATTGCCTGTATGACCCTAGGCAAGTCACTTTACCTATTATCCTTAGGTGTAAAATGAGGGTCTTATTAGATGACCTCTAAAGTTTTCTTCCAGCCCTAATTATATGATTTCCTGTCCCTGAGAGAAAATGAAAGATTAAATTTTAACCAACATTAATAGAGTGCAAAGCACTTTACAGGTTATCTCATTTGATCCTCCCAATCCTGTGATATAGGTGCTATGATTACCTCCATTTTGCAGATAAGGAAACGGAGGCTGGGAAAGGTTAAGTGACTTGCCCAGGATCACACAGCTAGTAAAATGTCTGAGGCAGGAATTGTAGACCTGAGCCAGCCCAGGTCATCCTGGCTCCAAATCCAGCGTTTTATCCATTGCGCCACCTAGTTAGCTTTAAAGTAGAGCATACTGGGGCAACTCTGTAGAAAATAAAATTAGCAGTGGCCAAGATTATTTTTGTTTTTGGTAATTCTTGAACATATAAACTTGTTCAGATATCATAACAAAAGAAGCTACTATTTGCATAATCAGTTGTAAATATCCGTAACTCAAGCACAGGTTAATCTCTTCACTTTCCTCCTTTCTCATTTTCTATACACCTCCAAAGGGCTCTTCCTCCTCTAAAAGAAAGATCTTCATATGCAGATGTCTGTTTTAATATTGAATGCTGTGCTAAGGATGCTGTATAAAAGTTTTTTAAAAATGTCACCATTACAGGTTTATCTAAATTTTACTATAATTAGAGTTGGGGTGACTAGGGAGGAGGAATGTTAGTCTCTTTCCCAAATGAGGATTCACCTCGAGTTTGCCTTCTGAACTGTTTCAAATTTCTGCAACTTTTACTTCACCCCCATGTTGCTAGGTACTTAGCAAGTCTATCCTATCTATTGCCACCTCTTTCCCATTAATTTCCTAATAAAGGAAAAACAGTTACCATACTTGTATTAATATTTGGGGAGTAATTTAAAGAAACTTACAAAAACCAACATTTTCTAAGTTCATTATGTTATTTTTCTAAGCAGTCCTACTTCAACAATAACAGGTGTGTTACTGAGAAGCTCATTGCATGGAATGAAAGATCAGACTGGATGGTCTATACAGGTCCCAGGTCCCTTCTGATCCCAAGATTCTAGGGTCAGGTATGAAGGGTAAGTAGGAGGAGCTAATTTTCATTTGAGAAGATCGTAGGATTTTGAACTGGAAGTGAAAGACCTCTGAGATGATTTTTTTTTTTTAGGCCAGGAATTCTTAACCTGCAGTCCACGATCTTGTTTTTTAAATATTTTAATAATTGGTAGTTCAGCATAATTCCTTTGTAATACTGTGTATTTTGTTTTATGCATTTAAAAACGTTCTGAGAAATGATTCAGATGTTTCACCACACACACAAAAAAGATTAAGAACCCCTGAGTCCTGCGAAGGTTAAATAATTTGACTTATCCAAGATCACACATGTAGTAAGTAGCAGAGACCGGTTCAAATCCGAGTGTCATAAACCCAATACCTTTTTTGTGTTGCTTTTCTGCCTGTCGTAATTAGTTATCCTCAAGTCATGAAAGGATCTTGTCTTCTTGTGCAGCAATAATCTTCCTACTTGGAATAAGAATGTATATTTGCAAATAAGCTGTCACATACAGAATTTTAACTAATAAGGATCATCTTATAAAAAATATCCTATTGTAGTAAAAATGTGGCATGTGTTTACTTAATAGATGTATGAATTTGGTTTTCATCTTTCTGTAATGATTTAAATCTGTAGGTAGTCACTTATAAGCATGTGCTCAGCACAGTCTTGAAAGTCTCTGTTACCTCCATTTGGTGGAGGGAAGGGAGAAGGGCTAGGACTTGTCCAGCTCATCACTTGTCTCTGGAAGTAGGGGTGAGACAAGAACTCATCTTTTGGCTGGACAATTGCTCAGGTTTTTTTATGTTTTGGATTTTGATTATGCTTAATGACAGCGTGCGTTCCAATTTCAACCAAAATCAGACAGCTTTGTTTTAGTTACTTCTCTGTCCTGACAGGTTAGCAGTTGGCTATTAAGGGACGAGTTTCTTATTTCTGTGGATTACTATGAACAGCTCCTTGTAGAACCCTACAGTTAAATTTTAAGGTCGCAGATCGTAGATCAGAGATTTAGAGTTGAAAGGAACCTCAGAGGCTTCAGAAATTTGAGGTCCGCAGAGACTGTGACTTGCTCACGGTCATACTGGTAA